TCTCATTAAATACCAACAACATCAACATTAAAAGTGTGTTTCTGCTCCTACCAGCGCTACTGTTAGCCACATTAGCTACTTCCACTACTACTACTACTACTAGTAGTACTAGCAGTAGTACTAGTACTGTTAGCCACATGCAAACACTGAGGGTTGTTCTGTTGTTGTGGTAACATTAGCATCAAACATAAAGTTCTACTGTAAAACCACCACTACCAGTACTACTACTAGTACTACTACTACTAGTACTACTACTGCTAGTATTACTACTGCTAGTACTACTACTACTAGTACTACTACTAGTACTACTACTACTCCTACCAGTGCTGTCAGCGGGCCGTTCTTGTTCAGAAGTGAAACCACTGGACTACAAAGAACTACAGGAACAATATTGTTCAAATTCAGATTGTTCGATGAGAAGTTTGTGGTTTTTATTTGACTGGTCTGAGTGAATCTATGATGTGATGTTGTTCTGTGTTGTTGTGATCTTTGGTGTGTGTGGAGCCGACAGCGATGCAGCTCTGACTCTGGTTCATGTCAAACAGCTGATGTGTGACGTGTCATTCTGATCTAATCTCTACTCTGATGTGTGACCTCTATGGTCACCGTTTCCTCTCCTGTTCCAGCCTGGTCGTGCTTCCTGGATGGACTTCTATCTCACAGTTCTTCCTCTTTTTATTTCCTCAGAACCTCCCTCAGGATTAATGAACTTTAGTCTGTGGCTGGTGCTTCCATGAAGCTCTCCTACATGCTGACGTTGGGTTTTGCGACTCTTTCAAAACGACCGCATCGACTTACGTTTGTGTTCAAACTGTGCGTTTGGTTCGTCGGTTTCTTTGCGTGCGGCTCGGCGGCGGCTGGATAGCTGCTCCTCCAGACGGTCACATGTTGATGAAACGCATCACGTTGTGGTGAAACCGCACAACTTTACAGATGCATAGATATACAGCTGTGTAGATCTGAACCAGGACTTGGTTTCAGGCTCAGTGACCTGATTCTGGCCTCAGACAACAACAACAACAACAATAATAACAAATAAAAATAAAGTCACACTGATATGAGCGCTGTTTGTGTGACTGTCAACATGTGTGTGTGTGTGTGTGTTAGTGTGTATTAGTGTGTGTTGTGACGGACAGCTCGCTGCTCCTCCTCCTCCTGCTCTCGTCTCCTTTCAGCTCCATGATGCTGCTGCATTGATTTTTTTTATAATTATGTCTCCTCTCCTCCCCTCCTCCCTCCACCTCCCTCCCTCCTCCTCCTCCCTCCTCCTCCTCCCCTCCATCCCTCCTCCTCCCCTCCTCGTCCTCCCCTCCATCCCTCCTCCCCTCCTCCTCTCCTCCTCCCTCCCTTTCATCCCGTCTCTCTTATCTCCCCCCTTCGCGTCTATTTTTCTAATTCCATCCCTGCGATCCGTTTTTATGCCTCGCTGTGCCCGTGCTTGTTATCTCGGCCCTTTTCTCTTTTCTCTGCTGTTTGATCTCAACTTCTTAATTTCCTCTCTGCTCTACGTCACTCGGTTTCCTTTCCTCCGTCTCCCTCCATTGTTTCTCTGTGTTTTTTCTGATTCTGCTGACCTCTTCTCTGGTTCTGACCCAGTCCTGTTCTCTGCCTGCAGCCTCTCTGGAGTGCACGCCGTCGTCACCGTAGCCGGACGTCCGGGTGCCGGAGGACGCCGACATCCAGCCGGACTCCAACACTTCTCGTCCTCCTTCCTCCACTCCTCCAAAGACAGATCTGTAAAAAGAAAAAAGAAAAAAAAAACAGGCAGAAATAAGCGCCTGCTGTCTTCCCAGCCACTCCTGAAAAGCTCCCACGAGTTGTGACTCGCCGTTTCCTCGCAGTCCAAACAATTCCTCACAGCTTCCTGGAAGCCGACCAGCCGTCTCCAGTCATTCCTGACCTTTGCAGCAGAATCCTCTCCTCCTCTCACAAACCCTCCACAGCTGCTTACAAGCATTTACAGACGTTCAGGACGGTGCTGATCCTGTGGTTCCGGTCCAGTGACCCTCCTTCATCACCGTTCGTGGCATGTTAGCTCATCGTCGTAGCACTTTGACTTTTCTCCACTCCTGTGCTGTTCTTCTGGTTCTGGACTTTCTAAAGGCAGTGCTAACAGAGACGAGCCTCCTCCTGTCCTCCCTCCTGCCCTGCAGACTGAATCCGACCCGGTGTGTTCTGGTGTCCCGGGCTGTGAGCGGCGTCCTCTCCTCCGAGGTGGACTGTGAGGGCAGCAGAGCCTGAAGGAAACTTCTGAATGCAGTCTGCAGCAGGTGGAGCAGAACCGGCGAGGTCGGGATGAGCTGCAGGAGGAAACTCCGGCGTTTCCTCAGAGCTCCAAGCTCATAGGTAAACTGATCCGGGGGGAGGACGGCGGAGAATAAAGACGAAGGAGGAGGCAACGCAAAAGGGCTCCGAGAACCAAGCTCTGCCTGGAGATGCTTGACTCTAATGAGGAGAGAAGAAGAGAAGACATCAGAGATAACAACAGAAGAGCCTCTTTCATTTCCTCCCCTCTGCATCGCCGACTCTTTATTGCTTCGTCTGCTCTGCATATCGCTGCTCCAGACTATTTTTAGATGAGACATATTGAACATAGCGTAGAGAGGAGACGCGCTGAGCGAAGGAGAAGCTCGACTCTCTGCTGTCAATGTGAATAACGGCCACTCACTGTTGATATAATCTGTATTCTAACTGCACTTAAAGCACACGTGTCTGTAACGAGCCCACGGCCGGATCATCGTCCTGTTTCCTGTGAGTGTAAATACATGAACCCGTAGCCGGCATCTCCACCCATATTTATCAAACGCTGCTGTAGCATGAGCTGTTGTCACGGTAACAACATCCTTTCTGTCCTGGCTGCGAGCTGTCAGTCAGAGCGAAGCCCCCGAGAGCCGCCGCCTTTTAATGGGATTCCATTTGTGCGAGTCCCTCGGTGTCCGGCGCTCATTGTTTGGATAGCAGAGCCGCCGGCAGATTGAACGCCATCGATCGGTTCTGCAGGACGCACAGTCGCTCCTCCAGGATGGCGGGAAGCTCTCGGAGCGGCGGCCGGGACGGAGCCGCTCAGGCTAAAACACAAGCGGTCATTTCACGGTCGGCCGGAGCTGCCGTGTCCACGTCCGTCAGGGAGGCTGCAGGCGTACATTAACTAAACTGGACCGAGTGTTTGCTGAGCAGAGGCCTGGTTCAGTTTATGCAGAAGATGCTGAGCCGGAGCTCCTTCCATCAGAACGTAGCATCACTCTCCACAAAGTTTAACCTCAGATCAGAGTTTGACAGAAAAATGTGCTGATTTGTGTTCCTGCTCCAGTCGAGCAGGAGATTCAGGCTCGAATTCTGCTCTGATAGATTTAAATAAGCAGCAAAATCCAGACCAGCAACATGAACCAACAACTGAGATCCAACATGTGGACTGACGGGCTTCAGAACCACTCCGAGTGGATTCTGTCCCTTTACGGCCCGATGAAGCTGTAGGAAGGACAGCTGGTTAAATCTGATCAACACACGATTAATCAACGTTGTTAACAGACCAGCGTTCTTCAGGTATGATCAGAAACACTGAATCTAACATCACAAGAATCCAACTAATCTGCTGGTAGAACAGCTTCAAACCCACTAAACCAGACAAACTTCGGTCAGAGGAAGGACTCTCAGCAGGAGAACAGTTGAACTTAATCAGTCTTAAACACCTCGTTAGCACCAGTTCCGCTCTACAGAACCATCTACCAGCACATTTAAAATGCAAAACAGACCTTTAGGTTACATAGAACAGGTCTAGTTTCCTTTAAAAAGAGCAAAACTTGTTTATCTGATAAATGAAATAAAGCTTCTTCTCCGGTTAGCTTCACCGGACACAAAACATCCACATGAGCACTTTGGAGCTTTTAAACCTGATCCACAGATCAGATAGAACTTGTTGACTAATGTGCCTTTTGGCCCAAACATCCAGATCTTTGCTCCAGCGTCTCCAACGTCATCTCACTGAGCTTCTGACGCTGTAATCTGAACAAAGGTGCACAAATGTTCCAATAAATAGGATGGAACAGGCTGAATAATGTGCTTCAGAGGTGCTAGAAGGATTTTTCTTCCCAGCAGCATTAAAGTTTGCAAACGAAAAGCTAATCGAGCTAATTGTCTCTGCGTCCATAAGTCTGACCGCTACAGAGCTTCAGTCAGAACCAAGGCTGGAAGCTGGTGACAGATTTACCGTAACCCTCTGACGTCTGTCTGGTCAGCTTTAAAACACCAAGCCCCCGTTAGCAGCCGGTTAGCTTAGCATAGCATAGCAGGAAGCACTTCTACGACTCTGAGATCTGTGCAGAAGTGAAGAAACAGAGTCAGAAATGAGACAAAACTACTGACGTCCTTCACGAGAACCAGAAAAAATGCAAAAAAACAAAGTTGACTTTTTGCCAGAGCTGCAGGTGTCTCAGTGGTTAGCACTGTTAGCACCGTTAGCGCCTCACAGCTAGAAGGTCGCCGGTCGGCGTCCCGGTGAGGACACCCGGGATCTTCCTGCGTGGAGTCTCCATGTTCTCCCCGTGCAGCGTGGGTTCTCTCCGGGTTCTCCGGCTTCCTCCCACAGTCCAGAAACATGCTGAGGTTAATTGGTGATTGTAAATTGTCCGTAGGTGTGAATGTGAGTGTGCTTGGTTGTCTGTCTCTAAGTGTAGCCCTGTGATAGACTGGTTACCTGTCCAGGTGAACCTGCCTTCACCCTGAGTCAGCTGGGATAGGCTCCGCCCCCCATAGTGAGGATGAAGGTGTAGATGATGATGGGTGGACTTTTTGCCAACAATTGGACCAAACCTGACAAACAGGAGCCTCGATCAGAATACAGACCTTAAGCCGGGGAGATGTTGCGTTTTGCATTAACTCCACTCTGATTAGCAGCCGATAGATTAATTGACAGAAGCTTCGATCAGCAGCTCGTTAGCTTAGCTTAGCTTAGCTTAGCGTCCAACAGAATCCCTCCAGCAGCTTCCTGCAGCTCCAGAGTTCACAGACCGGCCTCCAGCGTGATGACTGACGTTCTTCAGAGCTGGGTTTAGTTCCTTCCTTCTTCCAGCTTCCCTCAGATGTGATTAGAAGCGTTAAGGAGCCGACAGAGCCGACGTCCATACATTCAAATGTTCCCGAACCTGCCGGGAGAGCAGCACAAAGCCGAGTCTGTGTGATCCTCCGGTTTATGAGCCGCTTGCATCAAGTTTCATCATGTTTCTGAAGATCGGCCTGTAAAGGAGAGAAATCTGTGTTCTGGTCTGATGCTGCTCAGAGCGGCTCTGAAGGATTAACATACGTGTTTGTATCCGTGTTTTCCTCTAAAGGGGAGTTAGCCGTCACTAGATCGGGGGTCGGGACCTGTGTGTTGCCGCTGATGTAGCAGAGTGAGTTATAATAATGATAAATAATAAAGGCAGCGAGTATTGATCCGGTATCGATGTCCTCCGGAGGCAGGAGGGAACTTTCCACCACAGCGTTCCAGCAGCGAGACGTGAACCTGCCCGGACTGGCTGGCGGCAGACGCTTGGCTCAGAGACGCACACGGTTACACAACAAAGTCCAAACCTCACACAACGTTATTGCACAAGAGCCGTGACACACAACACAAACACACACTCAGCCAGCAGTGTTTCCTCATGAGCTGGCAGCAGCCTCCCGCCAGTCCTCGGTAGTGATGCATCAACACACGTAGACCTCCGACGGCGAGCCAGCGGACGCCGACAGCATGTTCCCTCCGGCTCGGACAGTTTCTGTAACGTGTGACTTCGTATCAGGTGCCTAACGATGGTGTTGGTATAACGATGATATGTGTAATAAAGTGATTAATCCTGGTGGTCACGTGTCGTCTGTTTGTTCTGCTGCAGCCCATCCTGTCCTCTTTGATCAAACACGTAAATCATTAAACTTTGAGGTGTGTGGAGGTCAGGGCTGGGGTTGGCAGGGTGGTCGCCATGGTTACGGTCACAGGAAGTGATGTCAATCAGAAGACATATATAGATGTGAGATAAAACATTCACTTACTGATTTACGTTACAAACATTTAGAATTTTAAGGTAATGAAGCTGCATTAGCTTCATGTTGATTCTAATTTAAACTCATTTTTCTCCTTTAGTTGGTTTTTGTTGGTTCAGTAGCTGGACTGTTTCTACCCACTAAAACCATCTGTTGGAATGAACAAGAGAATGTTGTTCTACAGATTGTAGGTCGACTCACTTTAAATTTAAGACACGACAACATCCCCGGAGCTCATTTTCCTTCTAAGTTCTGACAGACTGAGATAAACCTGAAATAAAAATGTGGCATCAGCTGAATATTTTGTGTAA